GACAGGACATTTCCGGAAGCGAGCTAGGGTGGGACAGTAGTGCTGTAGTTCATTTGTGATACCGGAGTATCGCCAGGCACATCGCTCACATATTCCGTGGCCACAAGGGAAACGGACCGAGCATGGCATATCCCACGGACAAAGGCAACACAATGATTCGACACCTATTTGGTTCAGGGCTTATAGCCAACCATTTTGGTCGACGCCACCCATCATCTTTTGGATGGCCGGGAAGAACTCTGGCGATGGCTGATAGAGCTCGCTACCACGGCATTCCGCGACAGTACGCCAAGCGTCTCTACACATCGGGTCATAGATGGCGGAAAAACTATCGTCATTTAAAATGGCTATGAGCAACATCTTTGTAGAGGGCAATACTTACAAAGAAAACTATATAATCTGTGTACCTTAAGGGAGCATGGATATATCACTTAAAAACATCTTCGCAAATATTGGCGAAAGCAACGCTTCGCACTCTTTGTCACGTGAGACGACACATAGCCACTTTCCAAGCCCATTATATTGCAGTGGTTCTTTACCTGGCCAGAATCGCCTCCTGGATACCTTTGGATACCAAGGTCCGCTATTTAAGTGTGCCGAAGCTGCTTCTGATGAAATCGGCGGGCTACACGACGCGACTGACTCGTCAATCAGATATTCTTCGTAAAGGAATACTGTCTCTTCTGAGGTCCATAAAAATTTCAAGATATTCCTTTTGAATCCGCGAGCGTTGGCACTGATTTTGTATGAACTACAGTGGTCTTGTTCGATTACACCTGGTGTCGGAACCTTGCTTAGATTGGAATTCGTAGCATCAGAGGTCACGGCTGATCCATGTTCGTCAAGTGATAGAGCTTCTACATCTGAAGTTTGTGCCTCGGTCCACGTTACGCCAGTAGTAGCTTCTCGCAGGCGCGGTTTCTGGCTAAAATCCATTCGATTGTTCGTGTAAGATGAGGACGTCTTATGACTAGTCCGGGGACTTATTGATGTTCTGATCCCGGAATGCGAGACCGGAGACACGGGACTAGGAACCCTATCAACCGAATTTGACACATGTCCGCCATCCAGTGAAGTTTGTATGTATAGAATTTGTGCCGCGCGCCATGTGGCATTATTGCTGTCAGCTAACGCACCTGCCTGATCTACAACTTCCGCCGGAAGTGGTGAGTCCGAGCTAATATCCATCGAATCAAACGGATAAGGGAAGTACGCCTCATCAATTGTTGGTTTAGCGGCAGCGGAACAGCGGACTGAGTGAGCAGGGGATTCATGCACAGAAGATGACTCAACGTTGATTTGAGGGCCGGTCTGAACAGTAGGTTCCAGTTCACTTCTATTGGTACACCTGTCAAAATCTACGTCAAGCTCACTTGTGGAAGAGTTGTCTTGTTTTTCAATATTGATCGCGTTGGGTTGAGCGACTTTGAAATCACCGTGGGGCCAATGTGCCCCGTGTCCACCCACGCGTTTCGTGGAAACCTGGCAGTATCGGGCCCTGGAGACTGCATATCACTTCCAGGAGCAATTTCAGGAGGTATCAGACTAGGTGGGTGGCAAAAATCCAGGAAGAATCGACTTTCTTCAAATTGCTATCATTTTCAGCTTCCACATGGGGTGATTTCCAGTTACTCGCGTTGCTTTGGGGCTGATGACTGCGAATATGCGTCTGTGCGGAGCCTGACAGTTCTGGCGAGAATCTTCGATCTAGTGGAAACAAATCAGTGGTCGCATCGTGATGCGAAGTTTCTTTGTCCAATAGTGTTGTATCAGTCTGAATGGAAAAACCCAAGTTCGTATGAAGAGTTAGCGGATCCGTGATTGAATCGTCAGTCTTTGTACGGAGGATGAATCTTACACCGTTTCATGCACAGGAACTTCGTCTTGATCCGAAGGTTCACACTGACCTAGCATGTTCTCTGAGCCCACGTAATCGCTACGTATGTCTGTCGAAAGTTTTGGAACCTGTCGAGTCTCGGTCTCAGGGATCTCATCCGCGGAATAGTCTAGTATAGATATCTGGTCATCCTGGCCATTACCCGAATGGCGGACCGAATTCCCACCGCTTTCTCTTGCATGAGTAGTGCTTGGATGCGTATTGAGCTAGCTGGCAATTTGGGGGGACTCGTTCTGGTGATGAGATTCGAGTTTTCGTAGTGAGTTGTTGGGCTCACTTGTGGAGTGTTGCGTCAGTCGATTTCCTGCGGCTTGTCCGCGCGGAACCTCAGCGTACTGGGAAGAGCAGAAGGGATCGCCAAAGAACGCTCGATATATACACGCAAGTTATACAAGCGTATTACAACTAGCAAACTGGTCAAATCTTTCACTTGAATCGGTGCCAATAGTTCCAGCAACGTCGAAAAAAAGGTGCTGCCGCGCGGTCTCCGTTTTATCTGCGTTTCAACTTCGCTCCGCTTTTGGTCTCGTGGGGGGGGGGGGTGTGAAAGCCAAAGCCGATCGAGTTATACTTTAACGTATAAAAGTCTGGCCTCGCGCTCGACACGAACGTCACTATCCAAGGCTTCCATTCTTAAGCATCAGAAAGACTTCTCCGCTTTTTCATAATATGCCAGAGCCAGAAAAAAAATCCACATGGGCGTCTCACGCTTCCCACATGCGGAAGCCACCTTCACCGGCCCCTGCTTTACCTAAGGAGCATCCTGAACCTGAAACAGTTGCTATTCCAAAGGAGAAGAACGAACATGGATCTTTTTGTACATTCATTTCCAACCTCTGTTGCGCAAAGCTCAAAACTTCTCAAGCGCTTTGAGAGAATAAGTGAGCGGTCTGACCGTATTTCTACGCCGTCTTGTGACTCGACTTTATTAACGTACTCTCTTATCTTGAGTCTCACTTGGAGGGTGCAAGAAGATCGATACGTCTGTCTCTTGGCCCGCTGAGGGACTTGTCTTACTAAACAAAAACAACCAGAGGTGCTATGTGAAACTTGAGGGGCCCAGTTTTTTACCAAATCGGTCGAAGCGCCAAAATCACGCCTAGGTGATGGAATAGTGGGTATCGACCAACTTGATAGAAATCGATTCAAAAGAGTTAAACATAAGATCTGTGTGAAAACTACCGTCCACCCTAGTGTCTTCGCCCTATGACCTCTGGCCCTGATGGGTCTGTCAACTCAATATCATGGCAGTATCATGGCATGAAATGAGGATAGCTTTGACTGATCATTGCGGTTTCACGCTGATATAGCTATATGGATAATTTAAGTCATGCAAAAATCCCATCGAGTTTCTTGAGGACCCCCCCACTTTTCCATTCTGGACGATAACGCAATAACTTGTTAATGGGGTATCCAATGAGCGACTCGAGCGATGCGGTCGCAGACAATCCAATCCCAGTTGAATTAGGGAACCTATGAATATCAGCACTAAGATTCAGAATTGACTTAATTTCCTGAGCTTGCCAACTTTCGACTTCTCCGATTTATAGTCGCAAAAATATTCGTGAGTGCCCTTTTCACCAAGATAGATCCCGATTTACAATCTGAAGGGATGTGAGTGAAGTTGTACAACAGTGAATGTGTAACCAGTCTTGGTAACCTATGATTTTTTTAAAAAATAGCATTAGTAGGCGAGTCAAGTATACCGACTACTGTATCGAACGTCATAACGTGAGAAGGGCGCAGTCATTCGCGCGCATATCAAGCGACAGCGTATCGTGTATATGCAGGGTACTGTAGAGACTTGAGAGACACATCTTCTGTGGCACAGAATACTGATCTCTTGGGTACATGGCGATGACCGAAGACGTATGAATGCTGACTGGCTCTGGTAATTCAGACTGACAATTTCCCTTGCTTATCTGGGCTGCCCTTCCACATCGCGCAGGTCCGCCATGGCAAAAAGTGAGTAGTGACTCATTGGGTACTATAGCACATCTGAAGTCTAGACTGTGCCCTTTCAAGTCTGCATCCAGCCTATGTAGATGATTTGGTGCTCATCGAAGGAAATTTAGCGATCGCGTACCCCTTGACTCGAGCGATTCAACCGATTTGACTCTGCTGAATGTTTCCGTACCTGAACAATCTGACACCAGCGGGTGGAGGAAAGATCAGGATAAAGTCACTACCAAGCGTCTGAAAATCTACACAAAAGGCAGTTTTAGCAAAACTTTACAAAAACTTTACTGTACCCACTTTTCTGACCGACAAATCCATTTTAGGCCATGCTCGAATTTTCAGGCGAAATCAGGCAATAATCCCGCTGGTAAGAAGAATTTGTAGATATCGATCTACAGGAAGGAAAAAGAGGAAGGTCAAACATAACTTGATTGGTGAAAAAGGAATGGGAAGGAAGAGAGGCTATCTAATGTGTGGGTCCCTCGGTGGTTAGTCGGCAGAATCATCCAAACAAGAAGATGGTAACCGATCGTATCAGCTGGCTCTGATCATGTGATATACAAACCTCGGAGTGTTCGAACTTCGAAGCTTCATATCGGATACTCTGTTAAACAGAGAGCTTAACCTACTTCTTTAAGTTACTTTAGATTATTATAGATTCTGGAAAGCTTATTTAATAATTCCTTAGATAGTTATTACTACTCTAATCTCTGCAGAAATAAAAACAATTTAAGACTTTTACACTATACTACTATACTAAGCTTTTACTTAAAAGGTTTTAACTAAGTTTTACCCGAGCTCGTACACCTCTAGGTACAGACAAGTGCAAACCCAGCTTCACCAATTTGCACACATTTGTTAATTCTGTGCCCCACTGATAAGACTCTAGCCTGAATACTGAGTGCTGTTTAGCGGGGTATGGTATGTACTCTTCTTTCCCCCTGGCGTAGAACCTTCCAGGTCTTGTCACTGACTCAGCCATGATATAGTGGCAAACCGATCTGAGCCTTGTGGAGCTTGGATGGCACATTCCATTGAAACGGAGGTGCCGTATACATTCTACTTTTCTCCCAGGCCCTTCTTTTACAAAGAAATAAGAAATGAGAGGAAGAAATGAATGGAAATTATTGTTTAATGGCGACTGCTATAGACGAAATCGTATGAAAGAAACACGCCTTGATGCGTGTCCTAAGGCAAGTGAATCCCCATTAATAGCGGAACACGTAGGCCGAAAGTCAGGAGGAAGCCAGAGTACATTTTTGCCGCTCATGTTTATCCACCGTCCTTGCTCAATGAAGATCTCCCGATTCTTATGGGTTGAATTAGAAGCGAGATTTTCGTGCCCGGATTGAACATTAAGGGTGCCTAACTTGGTGATTAGATATGAACCGTCTTGAAAAAAGTCGAGTTCGTTGATGATTCCCTTAGTGGTCAAGGTCTCTTGCAGGCCGCCCGTCGCCGTGTCCCAGAGCCGCACGGTGTGATCGTCAGAGCCGAACGCCAGCAGCCGGCCGTCGGGCGAGAAGGCCACCGAGTGAACCGAGCCCGAATGCCCCTCGAGAGTCTGTAATTCTGCACTCCACTTTTCATTGACTTGTGAGAACTGGCATATCCAACTTGGAAGCTCCGATATGAACTCTCTACAAATTATTGTCGTTCGAGGTGTAAAGACTGGCCCTAGATAATAAATTTGGAGCGGTGCTTCGTCGGCTATCTGGCGGTTTTTCAGAACAAAGCGTATTCCATCGTGCAGATAATTCGATATTACAGACTTATCGTCGCCCTATGGCTATTAGTGTGAGTCTAAAATAGCTGTGTTCAATTTTACTTACTTGTATTAGCGTGTGGAGGAGATCAAGCATGCCTACCACGCAGACAGTTCGAATGAAAGTTTATGAGTCCTTCTGAAGCTTTTCTGGAACTGGCGTACAACAGCCAATGCAGAAAATGCTTCTGGAGGAATAGCAGCACATCTTCTATCCCGAAAGAAAGATCCTGACTTTGTTCGAAATGGTGTATCCAGTAGCGACAAGAGTACTGTAATTCCGACGGTAGATATTGGCGGATATGTTTGGGGTCAATGTCTGCCCTACACGCTCCAGGGTCTGCGAGATTACAGATATCTTTCTCTAGATGACTATGCATCGTTTTGAGACAGGACTTAGCAATGTCTTTGTGCTTTCTTCGCTCATCCACAAAAAACGTGCTGCTTGACCGGACCAAAAAATCCCGAAACGATAGATGCATAATTCTAACAGGCTGATCTCGGTCACCGGGAATACTCATAACAGAGCGGAATAAATCCAATTGATTGCTGATCTGGTCTGTTCCTATCCCAAGAAACATTGACAGTGAATTAATAGAAAGTGGAACAGCAAGAAGGATGATAACACCGACTATTTCCTGGAAGTCGCTCAGGAGCTGCTTCTGCTCCGATTCATCACACTCTTGATCGCCGAGAAGTCGTGTCAGAATTAGCAGGTATGTCTTGTCCATTCTCGACACGTATTTAGCTTGGTCCGTAAGAAGCTCTGCAAGGCGCAATTTAGGTTCCCACTTTGAATTTCCGATGTAACGGCATACGGTTGCAGCCGAAATAAACAATGGAACGGACATAGTGACCAATTTCTGTATAACGTCATCGCCGGGCCAGTGTTCAGAAATATTCCTGTCGTGTTTGATCTTCGTAAATTGATGTTGTAGGAATAAGTGTATATCGTGTTCTGTTACTTCTTCGGATATCTCATGAAGAGCTAGGTCCTGATATTCATGATCCGCGATGTCGGAAAAGCCGAGGTTGATTGGGAGTTCAGGCCTACTAGTCAAGAAGATCCGAAGGCGAACCGCTTTTGCCTGCTACAGAAGAGGCAGTAATCGAATTATGTTTCGGATATCTTGATCATGTTCACACTCGCCCAAGGCATCGATCGCTATCATAGCGGGTTGAGGTTGTCGATCAAGTTGGTCAAGGTTGAGCAGCGGTTGAAGGAGTAGTTTCTCAAACTGCTCACTGAGCGACTTTGATGCAATGTCAGGGTCACCTCGGAGTGCCTTTTGCACGCCAGACCTCAGCCCAGAAATCCTGAGCATTAGTTGCCTTGTTAGTGGAGGAAAATACTTCTTCGCGTTCCCTCGGTCTACTTCACCCCTCTTAAAGAAGAAGCTAGCACCTAGATAATTGGTGTTCTTAAGCAACCTTGCCACAATCCGAGATATTATGGATCTTCCTGTCCCAGCCATTCCCTTTAACCAGAAAACGCATTTTTGGGACGGCGATATAGCCCAGTCCATTATCTGATAGAGGAGCTCGGTCCGAGTGCCTTGGAGACTTTGGACTTCGTCTCGATCGGAGAATAACTCAAAACCTGCCTTTATCGCACCTTCCAACTTCACAAAATCCATATCCTGAGCGACGCTGACCATAAGAACACTATGTATTCTGTGAGTCAATTTAAATTTTCATATAATCGTGCTCGATAAACGTACGTCTGATCCACCTGTAAAGATAAGAGGAATGAAGATTTATGTCTCCCGAGGTTCTGAATAACGCCTTCCATCTCTACGCGCTTCAGGGGCCACCTTAAGGCTCGCAATCCCACTTTCCTCATCAGCTTTTTTTTCTTTCCCGGATCAAATGTGGCTTCTAAGGCTCGGAGGTCGCAGAGGCAATCGGTCACATTGCTGACTAGTCGTGAGGAGGTTGGTAGAACCTTTCCTTCGTTGCTTCGGAGGAATTTATGCAGGTCTTGGAGTGTCCCTTGGAGGCCTGTAATCGCCTGTTGCAAGGTGGAAATTTCGTGCCGCGCATACTTCACCTCTTGAATGTAGCCTCCGCAAAGCTTCACGAGGCTTCCAGTCAATTGAATAACCGCGATAACACTCGCCGCTGAGGAAAGAGGATCCATTTGACGGGGCACGGCATGAAAACCTATATTCAACGTAGATAGGAACGATGGCAACTCATGTGAAAAAATTCGGGTTCAGGATTTGGTTGGGCTTTTCAGGCGAGATAAAAAGCAAAGAGAGGTAAGTTGGGTGCCAGGCGTGAGGCTGTGATCTGAAATGCGTCTCACGGGTAATTGGACTTACTAATCATACGTTTCCTTGCAGGAAGGATAAGACTAAGGATGCAAGGAGACTTGTTCGAAAGAAAGGAGGATATCATTCATTCAGGAAATACCCCGACTTAATTCTACCATACTCGAGAGAACATCGACAGCGTCTGTCTAGTGGGTACAGTAAGTAATGAATGTATATGATGAGATACGGCTACGGTAGGGGTAGCAGTATCGATGTGTGAGAGGGATGAGGAGTGAGATTGCTGAGGGGGAGAGATTCTACCTAAGCTATGGACTGTGGTGAGTGGCAGAATCACATGCCATGCAAACAGTATAGAGGGCCATTTAAATACACCCATTTCTTCACCTACCGCCTTGTCGGTGGGGCCCGGAAAGAAAGTGAGAGTGTAAATTGGTGAAGCTGGTTTTGCAGGTGTCTGTAAGCTAAGCCCACGACTTATAATTAATTTACTAATAGCTGGCAGGAATGCGGGAGGTTAAGTTATGAGCTGGGACGGGACAGCTACGGTGTCCTTAGGTTGTCCACCTCGCTAGGACCGAAACGGTAAGATTAATTTGGGCATTTACAGTGACGGGTCATAGGTTTGAGCACCCCCTAGCCCCACATCTCCTACACCGCTCGCCATACAGCCTACCGCCTGCCATATACGCGTTGTAGAAAACACGCTAGAGCGCGTGTGCCAGGAAGAGTGTAGAGATCATCTAGATCAGTGGAAATAATACGTAGAAATCAATTCCTACCTACCTACCAACCTACCTACCAACCTACCTACCTACCAACCTACCTACCAACCTACCCACCTACCAACCTACCCACCTACCTACCCACCTAGGCATGGGTCGGTCTAAAGAGCTTACACCTCACCTACGCGCGCGTATATGCGAGCTATACGATATTGGCTGGGGATATAAGCGTATTCATAAGCGATATCCTTGGATCTCTCTCTCTGGGATACGCTATACGATCAAAAGGGCCCCAGATCGACTGGATAGTGTTATATCGAAGCCACGCAGCGGCCGGCCAAAGAAGCTTACTGAATCTGACAAAACGCGCATCCTTGAGGTTATTCATGATAATCCACGCGTTACCCGGGAAGATCTCCTGACTGAGGTTGATCATAGGGTTAAGATCCGATCGATTCAACGGCTTTCAAACGCAGAAAATATGCGTAAATGGCGCTGTTTATGGCGGCCCTACCTCGATGAGGAACACGCATCAAAACGGCTTCAGTGGGCGTATCGCTATCGCGAGTTTACCCCTACTGATTGGGCTCGTGTATTCTGGTCTGATGAATGTACTGTTGAGCGTGGTATCGGTATACAACGCGAATGGACCTTTATTCGCCCTCGAGATCAACCACGTATGAATCACTGTCAGGGTCTACCGCATCGCGGTAAGCAAGTTAAGCAGATGTTTTGGGCTGCATTCTCGGCTGATCGCCGAACAGGCCTAATACCCCTATTCGGCGATCCTATCTCAGAGCGTGGTGGTGTTAATCGATTCGTGATCGAGGAGTTATATCGGCGTGTGCTACCAACGTTACTATCTACTGAAGATGGTATATTTATGCATGATAACGCACCAACACACACAGCTCGTGTAGTACGCGAGGCCTTAGATGATATGCAGATCGAGGTAATGATCTGGCCACCTCACTCACCAGATCTCAATCCAATTGAGAATCTATGGGCGCTCCTGAAAGCAGAGATCTACAAGCTTAGGCCTGATCTGATGCATATGAAAAATAACGAGGATACCAAGCAAATCTTAGTTGATACAGCCCAAATCGCATGGGAAAATATCGATATGGAACATCTTCAGCACCTCTCTGGTACCATGCCTAATAGGGTGCAAGCGATTATCGATTCTAATGGGTGGTATACACCATACTAGTTTTGTCACGGCGCAAGTCATACGTGGTGACTCAAGACGATTCACGATCGAATCGACCCCGCGTCGTCTTAGGGTAACAACCCCAAGAGCTCTGTGTGGGGCTGTGGGGACTCGGTACGTGGAACCTCTATGTATATATTGTGGGAACTGGTGGAGCCTACCAGACCCCAAGATTCAGTCTTTGAAATCAGACCCCATAGACTTGGACTCTCTGCCTAGCCAACAGGTCCTCTGTCCTGCGATACAGACCCCTTAACACGTTATATACCTCTATGTAGCCGAAGTGTTTGTATTAAAACGACGAAATTTTTAATGTTCAGACTTAACTCCTTTACTGAAAGATTATAAGTAATTATACTAAGTTTTAGTGTGGTAACTTATTCCTTGAGTGTGGCGGTCGGCTGGTGGCAGTGGTGGACTAGAGGTATACATGTCTTTGCGATCGGAGTCAAAGTCTCTCAATGTACCCGAAAGTCTCTAGGTGATAGGGTAAGCCTGGATTTCAAGCCGCATCTTTAACACCTTAATATAGTTAGTATCTAGTTAATTTTAATCAATACATAGTACATATATACGATAGCTAGATATAATTGCTATCTAAAACTAGATTCTACCTAGAGATATTAGAAGCGGTATGAGTCTATGACTAGATAACTAAATACCCCAAAAACACCTTCCGTTTTGGGAACTTGAGTTGTTCTGTTATAGGAAATAGCCGGGCCTATTAACCAAACAAGCCGATATAAGTATCGCGACGTCATGGCTTGCGGCTGGCTACGGCCCCGCACAGCCACCAAGCCCGCAATCCGCCGTAACATACGCATGGGCCCCATGGCAAAAGTATAATACCCACAGGAATAACCGTAGGCGGTAGGCCCCATAGTCAAAACCTAAATTCTGACCCAAACCCAAGTACCTATATGGGCCCCATGGGTATTCCCGCAAGTTGATAATCAACTTTACTTGCGTTATGGTCTTATAGATTTATGATTTAATTTGCGTTAGCCGTTGGCCCGTTGATGGGGGTCTACGGGGGTCTCCCCCGTATATAGAGTTGAGAATATTGATATAATCGGTGGATATCAGAGTACCCTACTACAATTTCTACTTCTTGCTCCACGCATTAGAAGGGAGGGGCGGTACACTTGTAATCTTATATTCTTTCGGCGACTCTGCCGCTCACGATAAGCTTATCACGGGGACGAGATGTATCTCAAAGATCTCACTACCAGCCGCGCTGTTACACGGAGTAGCCGATACCTACTGCACGACTCCGCCATACATTCCGTGCCTTCGACAAGGAATGTCTGGTCATACATCCCGGACTGGGTCCACGAGAGTTGGCAACCTCCTCTTGTTTCTGGTGTAAGAAACCTGCCCAGTGCGTCCGACTCGGTGACGACTAAAATTTTGATCAAGCATTTTCTCGAGGTGAACGACGTCTATACATCTTATTTCGGAGCTTGGCGAGGCCCTGATTTGATGCACGATTCGACTGATCTTTCGCAGATCATGAGATATATCGGACGGCGGTTGAATGTGATATGCAGGACACAACTGGAGATCAAGGTCACTGCTTTCAACTCAGACCTCTCTCCAACCTGGGTACATTCCGAACGGATTCAGGGCTCAGCATACCCCGTTGCAGTCTGCCATGAGCCTGTTCGGTTCTTGCGCGAGCAAGTTATTGAGCAATGTCGTGGAGACGGTTTACCGTTCATTCAGGTTGTTTTTTGTTTGCATGGCATGTGATTCTGCCACTCACAACAGTCCATAGCTTAGGTAGAATCTCTCCCCCATAGCAATCTCACTCCTCATCCCTCTCACACATCGATACTGCTGCCCCCACCGTAGCCGTATCTCATCACTTTTGATATGCAGTAGACTTATATATCTGACTCGATAAGCCGTAACTCAGATTCGATTATCCGTCTCAGTAAGTCAGACTCCTGTCATTTTAGGAGTCTCTCATGAAGGAAACCACACTTCCTGTATTCTTGGCTATTCAAGTATTCAACTGACGTCCTGAATCTTCGTCATTCGACATACGAGTCGCTTGAGTCAATCGACCTATTATATGTTTCTAATACGAGAAGATTCAATCATGATACGGTAACTGTGAAGGGAATTGCTGGGCTCCTCATTTTTCAAAGCATGGCGTGAAGCCGAGAAGACTGCTGCGGGGGCTAAGCATTCCTAACGGTCAGACCACGCACGGCGTTAAGCGGAAAGCTACCATCAAAGCTCCTGTCTAAGACGCTGACGAAAGTAACCTGCTCGTTCATCACAGCTCCTTCAATATCTGGCCAGGCCAAGAGCACCGCGCGTAATAATCGAAAGCAAATGTCGCCTAAACTCTCTGCGATTGGGTACAGACTCATAGTGCTTTAACCTAGTCAAGCAGGCTTTTGGCATCTCCGGAGAAAGAAATTGTTATTAATTGAGGCGGGGTTGGTATAAGGTCATGATCACACTAAAAGACATTATTTCGCGATCGTCAATGATCAACCTTCCGTATTCCAGCATCAGTCTCCACCATATCACTTTAAGGTCTTCATTGCGCAGCACGCGACGAGACCACTCGTAACTGTCCTGAGCGAAGCATTTCCCTAAATCTGGACCTTCCCGCTCTTGCGTCAGGTACCGTACAATCTCAGAAAAATCACGTGCATCAATGCTGATTGGTATGTAATGAGTCTAAGGGGTTAGCCAGTCGTCATACGACTCCTAGTATAGCGTCGGCTTAAGAACGGCCGATTTTGATATCAAGAGACGGTAAGAGCGACCACTTAAGACAGTCACCGTCCGGATCGCCCATAGCAAAATTTGTATTCCTTACTGATATATCGTCTGTTTGACCCTCTTTAATCTGAAATCAATTTACTTATTCTTCACATGCGTGATCGTCTTATTGGACGGCTGCTGTCATTCGTACACGGGTAAAATTGGACAGAG